CCCAGAATCACACATGCCACCTGCCCAAAACTCACCTCAGCAGACCCAGGCTCTGTTAGAGGCCCAAGCTCTCTGCTCCACCCTCCCGCTCTCCTCGTGTCCCTGCCCACCCCCACCCAACAGCTCCCAGAGGCCCATCCCATGTCCCGTGCACCTGCGCAGCACACAGCTACCTGAACCCAAGTGAGGGTGGGGCTGATTTGTGTCTTGTTTGCATTCTACTCACTGTCCGTGTGCCTGTTCCTTCTCTGTGACCTCTCTGGGGGTGCTTTATTGGGCGCAGCCGGACTATCCTGGAACCACCTCTGACTGGGCTTGGGAAGGGGCAAGAAAGGTGGAGAAGCGGCATGTTCTGCAGCTCCCTAACCTTTCCGTCCGCCCCGCCTTCCTCTGCCCCACCCTGCACCTGTGCCCAACTTCCCTTATTGCTGGGGTTACTGAGTCTCGAGGTTGTGGGTCTCCAAGAGCCTCTGATCTTCCCTTTAGGAATTCCCACTTGCTGGGGGGAGAGATCGTGCTGGGAGGCAGCGACCCCCAGTATTACCAAGAGAATTTCCACTACGTGAGCGTCAGCAAGACTGGCTCCTGGCAGATCAGAATGAAAGGGTCAGGAATCCTCAACCCTCCTCACTCTCTAAAAATGCTGCTGCTGCTGTGGGTGCGGTCTGGAAGGGGCAGGGTTCCCATCCTGCCCTCTCCCCTAATGCAGCCACTTCTTAAGGTCTGGCCAACACTTGCTCTCTGCCTGCTTTGTCCGGGGATGGGGAACACTGAGATATATGGTTCAGAGAGGAGGGGGCATACTGGGAGGAAGCGGAGGGTCACTAAGCCACATGCCGAGGGAGGGGGCAGCACCTCTCTTCTTCCAGCTCACGCATTACCCCTCCTTCACTGAATCACTGGACCACCAGCACTCCCTCCCATCATCTGCCCTCACTCAGGAAAGCCATGCAGCCTGGTGGTGCCCCATCGGCCTGCTGTCCATCTGTCTGTCTGACTGTGTAGCCTTCCCCAGGGTGTCTGTGAGGTCGACCACTTTGCTCTGTGAGGAGGGCTGCATGGTAGTGGTGGATACCGGAGCATCTTACATTTCGGGTCCCACCAGCTCCTTAAGGCTGCTCATGGAGACCCTGGGGGCCAAGGAGCTGAGCACAGATGAAGTAAGGAGCTGGCGGGGAGGGCGCTAGGGGTGGGGGGAGCACCACCTGGTCCAGGCCCCCAAATGACCCTAGGAAACATTCGGTCCCAAATGAGACCATTTCAGGCCTTCCTCTCCTGCCTCTCACACTCTTCCCCTGTGTGGCTTGGTCCTTGGTCCCTGGGAGAGGGGACTGGGGACTTGGGGACTGTGCCCAGCCCTCTCCAGGAGAAGGGCTGGGCCACAAGCACAGGACTGTGTCTGCTGGGGGACCTCCCACACTCAAAGGGGCTCCCTTGACCCTCCCCACCGCCAGTATGTCGTGAACTGTAACCAAGTGCCCACACTCCCTGACATCTCCTTCCACCTCGGAGGCAGAGCCTACACACTCACCAGCGCGGACTATGTGTTACAGGTGAGACTCTAGTCTGCCCCTCGGCAACAGAGAGGAAGGGTGGGCAGGGGCCCTCAAAAAGAGACGAGTCATTATGCACAGATTACCTGCTAGACCAGTTGTTCTCAAACTTGGCTGCACATTAGGGTCACCTGGGAGCTTTTAAAAATCCCAGTAATAAGCCACATCCCATACCTATTGATACCTCTGGGGGTGGTACCTGGACATCAATGTTTTCAAAACTCCCCAGGTGATTCCAACTTGCAGCCAAATTTCAGGATCATCTCCTGATCTCCATTCTCATCAAATGCCCCCAGTAATGTTATGCTCCTATACTCTTACCTGCTTTTTATATCCAGTGGGTTTAGAGGTGTTAAATACCTTGTCTAGCACCAGAAGCTCTGCCAGACTGTAAGCTGCTGAAGGCAGTGCTGTGCCTGATGCACTGTTAGCAGCATCCAGCTTAGTACCTGCATCTCGGAGGGGTGCAATCCATGACAGTTCAAAGGGCCAGCATGTGATGGAGGCCCGGTGTGGATGGGGGACTGGTGGGGGGATGTTGCTGAGGATGGCTGCTGGAGTCAGGCGACGTGGTTATCAGCTGGGCAGTGTGGAAACCCTCTTGCTTCCTGCCAGGACCCCTACAATAGTGATGATCTGTGTACACTGGCCCTCCATGGCCTGGACGTCCCACCGCCCACGGGGCCAGTCTGGGTCCTGGGTGCCAGTTTCATCCGCAAGTTCTACACGGAATTTGATCGGCGTAACAATCGCATTGGCTTTGCCCTGGCCCGCTGAGGTCCTCTGCTGCCCTGCAGGTCCTGCCCTCAGCTCTAGCCCAGAGCTAGAGCACTCTCTGGGACTCTCCAACCCCTGCCTGTGCTTGTGCCCTCACTCAGGGTCATGGAGCACCTCCTGGATGTGCGCCCTGCCCCCAGCACCAGCTCTTCCCTACTTCGAGGACAAACAGAATAAAGACTTCATGTTCACAGCCCCACTGTACCTGGGTTCACTAGGGTTTGAAACAGAGGGAAGCACAACCAAGAGATCATGTGCAGACAGGAACGTGACAGAATGACAAACTATACGTTCACTCACAAGCACAGGTTCCTGCGTGCAGGGCTGATGCCATCCATCTGACATCAGCGGGGTTCGAGTGGAGTTGAAGGTTTACACAACCTTGGGTGGGAAGTTTGCAGAGAGCCAGCCCCTTGAGGACCAGGGCTAACACTGTGGCAGTGGACTGTGGGCCAGCAAGATGGTCCCAGCTCATGGAAGCCAGCCTCAAGCTCAGGCTCTGCGCTCAGGCACTGCAACCCCCCACCCCACATAGCCATTTACCCATGCAGTCTAAGGCACCAACACCTAAAAACGTAGAACACCAGAGATCCGACCGATGCTCCCTTTTTACATGTGGAGAAACTGAGGCTCAGAGAATGAAAGCATTTGGCCAAGAGTGCTCAGTGAAGTGTGAAAAATCAAAACTAGAAGGCTGCCCGTCTGACTCAGGTCTGGGGGCTTCCCACCTTACCACATACAGTTGTACCTTCACAGGTTCAGAGCTTCACCCACCCTGGTATGGGGCCAGGTGCACAAGCACACAGATGTATGCACTGCTGTCTTCCATCTCACAAGACTTGGGACTCAGGCTGATGTCTTCTCCCACCCTGACCCCTTGGACGATCTGCAGATGTGTAGCTTGGGGAATGAGAGGCAGCATCTACCTGAATGAAGCCACTGACACTGTTCCTCTTCATGACAGATGCTCACCCTTCTTTTGACTGAAAAAGGTGAGGCACTGAGTGGCCCACCCAGGCCCCAGCAAAGCTCGTACCTCTAGAATTACAGGCTTTTGGAATTGTATAGAACACCAGGGCCTCTCTAGGGCAGCACTCCCACATCTGCCAGCATCCCAGTGCAGAGCCAAGAGCACAATTCTCTGAGTTTTCTTGCCTGCTTAGCTTTATTTCCTCACTGTTTGCAGGAAGGTTTGGAGTCAGTGTCATTTCCAGCTCAACAGACTGGGGCTCCATGACCTTAAGTAGGCAGGCCCCCCCCCATCATCTCCTACCCTGTTCAATAAGACAGCCATATATGGCTATTTACATTAAACATAAAATTAAATTAAATGTCACACTAGCCGCATTTCAGTTGCTGGATAGTCACATGTGGCTGGTGGCCACTGCACTGGACACAACAGATATAGGACATGTCCATCATCGCAGAAGTTCCACTGGGCAGAGCTGGATTCTGGACAGCAATCAGGACAGGAAGCTTGTGGCTGACAGGTTCCTGAACAGGTGAAAGGGTCAACATGGGAAAATAGGCACTTTTCTGGGTGGTGCAATGAGAGCTCTCCCACGCGGCCAGGTGACTAGTGAGGTCCCCATTGGCACACCCACCCCCAAAAAGCATCCCCCAAAGTCCCCTCGCCATGGGAAAAGGCCTCTTCCCACGGAGTCTCTTCCAGGAGTCCAGGGATTGGGGGCAGGAAGCTGGGGGACAGGTGGTCTAGCCCAAGCTGACCTCTTGGGAGCAGCGGAATCTCCACACTCCAGGACGCAGTTGGGGGCGGGAAGAGGCTTCCCCCGGCCCTGCCCCAGGTTACACAGGGGGAGCGGCCCCAGCCGAGGTGGGAAGGAGGAGGCCACTTCGCTGCCACGGAAGCGGGGGGGCGGGGAGTGAATCGGGGGCTACCGGGCCTGAGACCCGGGTGGGGGCGGGGGCGGGGGCGAGCCCACCCACCCCGGCCCCACCCGGGCCCCGCCCCC